GTGCCTCTGGCGGAACGCCACGGCAGGGGACCCTCCCCCCCCCCCCCCCCCCAGCGCCCTACAAATCAAAACAAGCCAATTTGAAGCTGGGATCCAGCCGTGATCATGTGTTTCAGTTTTGGTTCCTAATGAATGACCCCCCCCCCAGTGCCCTGCAAATCAAAACAAGCCAACTTGAAGTATGATCCATCCGTGATCATGTGTTTCAGTTTTTGTTGCTGACGGATAACCCTCCCCAACCAAACCACCCTTGATTTTGTGGATAAGTTTTTCTTGCTGACAAGTAAACCCCCAGTGCCCTACAAACCAAAACCAAGCCAACTTGAAGCTGTGATCCATCCACGAACACGAGAAGGTGGCGCCAAACAGGCCAAGGTCTGGCGCGCCGCTATTGGCATTGATCTGGCAGGAGATGTTTAAGGCCCTCCCTGCCCCCAGATGGGCGGCATGTCATTCTCGACCAAATTGCTGTATAATGATGTAATAGGAGAAATGATCAGAACCTACAAGCCATCTTCTTGTGTGACCACCGGTTGGAGAAAACAGCACAAGTGCTGTGACCGCTATTCGAAGTGAAGAAAAATAAATGAAAAAAAAACTCCTGTCCCCCGAGACAATAACTGAACATTCTTTGTCGTGCACTCACCACCCCTACCCTCACTTGCCCCTCTCCTTTTTTGTGTCTTGATCGCGCCTCCTCCTTTGGCGTTTTTTCCCCGAGATTTCTTTCCACCGATGAACGTTCAGCGGTTCAAGGCGGTGTTTTTCCCTTCTCCAATTTCCCCTCATTATTATCTCCTCTTTGTCCGTGTTTTTTAATCGAATTCCTTCCCTTCCTGATGGCCGAATCGACCTTCTCTGCCCCCCTATCTTTCTCGACCTACACGCGGAATTCGTGCTTGAACGGGCCGCGGGTTGGCCGCGGGCTTGCCGCGGGTGACTGCAGATTCAGCAAGGGAGGTGCTTGGAGACGGCCATACGCAAGTGGAGGGGAGCGGTCATCGAGGGAGAGGGTGGGGGGGGTACCAACAGGGTTTGGGACGGCTACAGCAACAGCGACGGCAGTAGTGAAACCGACGGCATCAACAACAGCAATGACGACGACAGCGTCGCAGATCGCGACAACAACAGCAACAGCAGAAGCAACAACAACAACGACAACGACAACGACAACGACAACAACAATAACAACAACGACGACAGGAAGAACGAAAGGGATGAGACGTCGAAAAGGACAGCAACATCGATGGCAGCAGCGGCGGAAACTCAGAGCAATCAAAGAACCACGAAGACCTCGGGTTTCCAGGAGGAGGAGGAGGCATCTTCGGGTATGCGTGACGGGGCGGGACACAGCGCCCACCACCGAATGGTTGTTCGAAGAGAGGGGGCGCTCTCGGACGCTGATCGAGCGCGGTTCGGCGACATGCCGCCAGACACGGCGACCACTGTGCGCGGAGCCTACCCCAGCCCTAACCCTGCCGCGGCGGCGGCGGTGGCTAGGACGAGGAGCAGCACCAGGGGGACGATGGGCGTGCTGTACTGGCAGCTGTCCGATACCTGGCAGGGGCCTAGCTGGAGCACGATCGAGTACGACGGCGCTTGGAAGGTGTGTGCTGTGGACGAACATTACATGGTCTTGGGGTTCTTGGTTTCAGCTAGCTGCTACGGCCTACAGGTTTGATGTTCTTGTTTGTAGTATCTAGCGGCTTTGGCTCGGAACCTTGTGGATACTCATAGCCACAGCTTATATATTGGAGCGGCTACGGCTTTAAGAGAGCGCCTGGCAAGGGACGCTAGAGCGCGACGGTGCTTGGAAGGTGTTGTAGACGAGAAAACATGGTTTTGGCATTCTTGGTTACAGCACGGCGCTTGGAAGGTGTTGTAGACGAGAAATATGGTTTTGGCGTTCTCGGTTACAGCATCTAGCGGCTACGGCCTTAGGAGAGCGCCTGGCAGCCATTATGGAGTAAGGCGGCGCTTGGAAGGTATTTGGACGAACATCGATAGTCGTCGTTCTTTGTTTTCCGTAGCGGCTATGGTTTATGAGTAGAGGACCGGGATAATCTAAAAGCGTTGTCTTTCATGGCGGTTTTCTCGAAACCATGCCATGGAATACGTGGAGTACTTACCATCGCCGTATCAGCCTCTTTTTGAAATCCTACGTCGGTTATCCCATGGCGTATCTGCTTTGTGACAGCAAAGCACAAGGATGAAACGTAGCCGTTCGCGCTGGCGAAAGCCTCGTATTTCGCTCCGTCCCTGGCATTCTTGGGATGCGAGGTTGATGGTCTTATAACGACTACGGCATGCGTTTCCATGAGAACAACGCCTTATCCCCCCCCCGTCGATATGCAACGGATCGATGGTGGGCTGACATTCTCGACTCCTGGTTCTTGTACCAGCACCCAGAATCCACATGCTCCCCTTTCCTAAGACTATTCGACGTGTGTTTCCTGATGACAGGTTTCCCACTACATGGTGAGGCGTGCTTTTTCTATCGTCTCGATAGCGGGGACGGTGGTAAAGCGTCCCCGTGCCGCCGAGCAATCCGGCGACGGCGTTGTAGACGATGTGGAGGCCTCTTGGTTCGAGTGCAACTTGACGTCCGATCTCGAGGGAGTAGTTGCTGGCTCCTACACGGTAAGAAAGATTGGGGTTAGGGTTAGGACAGGGGTGTGATTGTTTTTTTTCTTGGGAATCCGAAACGATTTTCGCCTCTATCCGTGGACAAACGCACGTGTCACTTGGGCAATCTACGAATACATTGTAGTGCCCGGGTAGGGTCCTTTCGACACTTCCCCCTCGACTGTGGTATTACCTCGAACGGGTGCTTTTCCTGCGATTGTATGTGCTCGTTCGAAATGAAATGATATTCTTTCTCCCATTCTGCAAATAATTCATTTGATACACCCCCTTCGACTGCTGAAACGGGCAGTCTGTCTTTCTGCGATTGAACGTATTTGTTCGAAGTGTTCAAACGATGTTGTCTGCATAATAAATGGACAGCGGCAAAATGCAAGTATCAAACGATTTTCTTGCTCTGCATAATTTTTCACATTAAAAGAACAACACCGAAAAATATCAAGGATGAAACAAATTTCTCGCTCTGGATAACATAGGTGAGCGTGTACCTGTGGGACGACGACTGCGACCCGGTAGCCTCGTGGGAGGGGACGGTCGGCCCGATGTCGCCGGGAAGCACCACGAACGTCTTCCAGGTTACCACTGACGAGCTGAGGAGGGTCGCCGGAGCCGACAGGTGAGTTGCCGTTGCTCCTCCACCTTGCACTATATTAAGCGAATAACTGCACCGCAGAGTAAATGCACGAATGCAAGAATGAACTACAGCCGTAGCGGCTGAGGTCGTAGAGAATATATTGCAAAAGTAGCGGCTACGGTGTAAGAGAGTGAAAATGACAGCAGTAGCGGCGGCTACGGTTTAAGGGAATAAATGGCAATAGTAGCGGCTACGGTTAGAAAGTGGGTTTACGAGAGTGAACTAAAGCATGTAGTAGCGGCTGCGGTTCTAAGAGAAGGAACGGATGAAAAAGAGTGAACTTCAGCAGTAGCGGCTGCGACCTTATAGAGAAAATGTCAGTAGTAGCGGCTACGGTTCAAGAGAGTTGAAAATGACGTTCGTAGTGGCCGCTGTGGTTTACGAGAAAATGACATGGGCGTATGAACATGAATTTACAGTCAAGTAGCGGCTACGGTTTATGAGAAAGTAATAGCGGCCACAGTTTAATATATGTATGTGAAAACTGTTTACAGGGTTAGAGTGAATGAATGTTGCTCCGGTCATTCGTAACTCACATATACGACAGCTGTACAATAAAATGAGATCACAAATAAATTGGTTGTAAAGGAGTGTGATTTTGGCTCGTCTCGATCCCCCCTTCGAACCGTAGCAATTTTTCCCCACCCGTCGTGGCGCACGAGAACAGAACCGTTTTAGGTTTGCAGCGAGTCCGGCGATAGTCCTGCAACACAGCTACACACTTGTCGTCCATGTCTGGTGCCGATCGAATCCTTATACGTGAATTGGAGCCGGCAGTTGACCCTGTTCTACGTCTGCCTCCATCCAATTGTATTGTCAACCCTTGCCGTAGATTGCAACGCATGTTGCGGGAGAAAGTTTGCTACCTAGATTTCCATGGATGTGGTAGGCGAAATGCTGAGCTTTTGTCACCTTGCCTGCTTGGTTACATGGCATGGTGTGTGGGTTCGTTTCACGGTAGAGGGTGGCAGCTCGTTCCTGTAGGGAAAAACTTGTTTTATTTCCCACAGGTGTAGAGAACGCCGATGCTTCGTGAGAAACCAACCACGAGTTTGGCCTTGCTCCCGCCTCTGTCTCGGAGGTAACTTAACCCCCACCCCCTCCGTCTATCCTTCTATGCACAACGTGTACCGCTACGGAACAGAGATCGAACCGGTTTCGGTGTGGGGGACAAGAGTACCCGCACCAACAACCGCAACAACACCAACAACAACAACAACAACAACAACAACAACAACAACAACAACAACAACAACAACAACAACACCAACTACAACAACAGCAACAACAACAACAACAACTACAACAACAGCAACAACAACAACAACAACAACAACAACAACAACAACAACAACAACAACAACAACAACAACAACAACAACAACAACAACAACAACAACAACAACAACAACAACAACAACAACAACAACAACAACAACAACAACAACAACAACAACAACAACAACAACAACAACAACAACAACAACAACAACAACAACAATGGCAACAACAACAATGACAACAACTACAACAACGACGTGTGCCACGAGAGCACTGCACACGAATTCCAAACGCTGTAAGAATGACCCAGATGGACTCGTGAACGACCACGTGCACGCAACAATACCAGGATGATCGTGCACATGGTGTTTGAGGAGACTGTGGAAGCGGGCACAAGCAATGACACCGCTCCAACGGCCGTCGAGAGGTGCTGTTGTATCTGTTGGTGGCGTTGCTGTTGTTGTGGTTGTTGTAGTGTCCCCGACATCCAGCCACTCGCGCGGTGTATCTACATGAACGCCGCCCCGGGGGGGCAACGTTCGGCGATCGATGGCTATGCAGGCAGCGAGTTGTCCGCAAGAATAGCAACACAGAGGACACGTAGAAATGCGAGTTGACTGTTTCCAGAGCCGGAGAGAGCGGCATCGGCAGTGATTCTCATCGATCAGCAGCGAGAAAGTTATCCACCCCACAACCCCTGTGGGAATGAAGATCAAGCAAAATATGCTTTACTGTCGACTACCGCTGCCGCCCCCTAACACGCCCAAGGGTGGAAAGCGTGTACTACTTGTCTTCGGCGAATGCGACGGAATCGGTGACGGTTGACGACCTGCCAGAGACCGGGCTCTCCTGGGAAGTGCTGCCGGCAACAGGAGCGGCGACGGCAGAATTCCATGAGGTGTGCTTTTGTTTCGAGGCACCAGTTCTGTCACTACAGATCCCAGGAGCATGGACACCCCAAAATACATTTTCAAAGGCGTGCTGTCGGACAACAGACGGAGGTGACTCTTTACGAAGCGCGCTTTGTCCTTCCCTGAATCGTATGAACCCCAGCCGGAATAAAATGAGTTGTTGGGGGACGCTACGTCTTATTCATTCCCGCAGTCTTGGTCCAACCCTTGGTCCTCACCACCTCTCTTGTGCGTGTGCGGAACGCATACATCTTGTACATCGCACCGTCTGCTTCAACCAACCCTTGCACTCACCATGTTCCTTGTATTGCGTACCATCGACCTTTCCTCACGTACACTCCCTACGGAATCACCAAGAAGGGCTTACCCTCCACCCCCCGCCGCCGCCCCGGCCGCCCCTATCTGTCTCCATACCGAGAATCAAATTGGGTAAGTATTAGGTTGGATTTGGTCTCCTGCGCCGCCGGGCCCGAGTCGTTGCCTGGAATGTTTGCCCGGCGCTGAGAAAGAACACCTGGTGCACATCGGATGAAATCCGTGGTTCCATGATCTGTTCCAAATTTTGGATTCTTCCGGTCGACACTCGTAGTTTCCTCGGGTTGTTCTGCATGACGATTTGATATCGCCACGAAACATGATCTAGTCTCAAGCTGCTGCAAAGACTACGCGTGTGTGTGGTCCCATTCATGTTGTTTGGATGTCGGCCCTTAGGTGCGTGTTGTACATGGCACTTTTCTTCCATTTTTTCCAAATTTCCAAATTCCGACGTTCCAGATTTTCATTTTTTTTCCATCGAACTCGTTCCAACTTTTTCGGTGCCAGTTGTTTGCAATATTTTTCCCTCGGCCGCAAATCAAGGTTCAACGGTCTACGGATTTAGAAATTTTAGGAATTCGGAAGCAAAATAGCTGTTACTGAATATAACGGCCCTTGCACCTTTCGGCTTTTTTCTGGACGCATCAGTCGCACAGGACCTTTTTATGCTGATGATTAAATGACACCCTCCGTCTCTGCAATTCAAGGATAAAGGGGCTCTATGTGGACTGACGATGCACATAATATCGTACACAGGATACGATGAGTACCGGAAGAGTTCGAGAGAACGCGCGGGTCGACCTGCGTGCGAGAAGGGCCCAAGGGAAGGAATTGCAAAAATCGATCGCACCTCCGTGCGTTATCTCGCATCCTTACCGTACCCCTCCCTTGCTCCTAGTACCCCCGCCAGCCTCTCCTAACGCGTCCTGTGTCCCCTGTGCGCTTGCCGTCTGTGCTGCCTCAACAATCAGGGCGAACGCACCGTGCGCGTGCGAGCCCGCGCTCACGCAGCACACGTCACGCTCAGGCTGGACCAGCCACAGCCGAAGCCGCAGCAACACGAGCAACGACGAGAGCACGCGGCATCCGCCGCCACGGCCACGGGCATGGAGCATCCGCCGCAGCCACAGCCGCCGCACGGAGGACACCCGCGGCAGCAGGAAGTACCGCCCTTGTCGTCGGCACAGCAGTTGCCGCGGTTCCACGCGAACGACGGAGGTTTTCACGTGTTCCCATGTCGCTCCCACGATCTACAGGTATGGCACCAATGCTTCAGAACCGTTACAACACCGTTAGATGGTGTTCTTTGTTGAAGAGTTTCAAGTGCCTTCCAAGACACGTCACGTGCCTTCGTCCCTGCGCCGCTAACGACAATGGCATGCGTTTGCCTGAGTACACCACCCACGCCGCCGCTCCTGCCACCACCGCCGCTCGTTGTGTCCCGGTCGGCTGCATGCATCGACCCGGCTACTCATCGGCGACTACATCCGTACAACAACAATAACAACGACGACAACAACAACAACAACAACCACAACGATACGGGCTTTGATTTCTTAAGGTACGCTACCGCGGGAATAGCCAAGACCTCGAAGGTGGCTCGTCGGGGATCAAGGCAGAATCGCTGAGGGAGTTGCTGGCGGCAATCGAGGCTGGAAAGGGAGACCAGCCGGGAGGCTCGCACATGGGCCGGGTGTAGTGTGCGTGGACAAAGGGAGGAGCCTAGGCGATAGTTGTACCAAGGCGTGGGCAGGGAGTTGATGAGAGTGCGCTATCTACTGTGGCCATGTGTGCCAGAGAAAGGCAAAGCGTTCACTCTGGACCAACTTGATTTGTAGTAGGAGTACACGCTGCCGTTCGCGTGCACCTGAGGGATGCGTTTTGTAGTAGGGATAGGGTTAGGGTTTGGATGCCGTGAAAGGGCACCCGGTTCGTGCGTTGCCACCGTGCTGTTGGACCCTAGGCTGGGGGCACCCCCGGCGAAGCGAGGTTGAACGCCACCTACGTACGCAGGACGCGGCACCCACTCACGAACTTTCCAGTAGCATTTAAGAACTTGAGTCCTCAAACAAATTTTAAAATCTAAGAACGTGGCCATAAGAACAGGTGCTCAGTGCGAAAAGCCTTGTACATAGAGTCGCCGTACGGGGTAGCCCACGTTCACAAAATATGAAACAAGCCTCGGCTTAAAATAAGAGGTTCTTGTGTGGTGACTCGTTCTGTGCTACTACACTCCACCCTCCTAATTCCCCGCCACCTTACTGCACTCCGCACCGTCGTCGGTGCTTCGAACGGCAGCATTGCAAAACAAAAACAAAGGCCGGCCCGCTCGTAAGAAAGATGTTCGGAAGAAACCGAGGCTCAAATTTTGGACGAAGAATGCCTGAAGAAGGTGAGCAGACATAGCGGCCAGCGCTACATAAAATTCCCACCGTTTATGCTACAAGGTTAGAGAGGGGTGTGGTTTGGTTGCGTGTGGGGTATTGAATTTGTTATTCTTTCGGTGTTGGGGATATAGAAGAAGCCTTTGCTCAGTGGTGGGAACAAGATAAGATAAGGCGTGAGCCTCGCTCAACACAGGGGTTTCTTTGAGCGGGCCGCCACGCTGTAGACACATCCGAGATAATGACGAGAATACTGTATACGGCGTGAGGCAACAAGGTTGTTTGCAAGGTTCTGATGCATGTCTATGGTATTGACGCCGGCGTTCAGAAAAAAATGATTTCAGGTTTGATATTTTCGCTCTTGTGACACCTGGCTAATAATCTGTACGCAGAGATGAGTACTCAAATCCTCAATGATGATTGGCCACAACCCACCGTGCGCCGTTTATTGGCGCCTGCTTAAGCACAGCAAGAATACGAAGCACCTGCTCAAGCAGCACAAGAAAATAAAGCACGCCGTACCTCGGGTCGGCAGGCAGGACTTCGCCAGTTGTTGATTTTCACGAGAGAGAAAAAAGCCACACGGGCAAAGGAAAAGAGGATGTTGACGGGAGAAACAGACAAACGCACTCAGCCAACGAACGGATTATATCTCAATCCCTGGAACCTTATCCATCCCATGTCACCCATTAGATCCCAGCTGCATTTAACCTTTCCCATCCCATTTCAACAAATCCCAGCTGCTGCATTGCCCGTGATCCTACATACATACTTGAAGTACCTGACATTAGAGAACAACAGTGCTCATCACTCGTGAGAAGTTCGGGTACAAAATATGCCCATGTGTGAGAACTTGTCGCGTGCCGGAAGGTTGACGCAACGGTACGGGATCAAGACAGAAGAATTTAACGATGTAGAGCTGGGCGATGGGGGCAGCCAGTAAACCCCGAAGAACCTCACCCACCCGTCTGTGCCTGGGTTTTGCAGCAGCAGCATCAGCTGCAGCACAAGAGACATTTTCTTCTCCACAAAGTTGGTAAGAATCAATAACAACACATCTCCCCCAAGAGCACCACCCGCCCCTTCTTCTGTAGACTACCGCTACTGTAACGACAGCAATAACCACGGCTGCAGGCTGCTGCGTGGTAACCTGCAGGCTGCTGTGTGGAGTGACCGATTCGAAAGTTTGGCACTTTCCAAGCTTCGTCCGTGGACGGTGACGCATGGTTGGCGAAGACGTCTACCATGCAATCTTCAATCTTCTTGCAAAGTAGTCCTTCCCTCGGGCGTTTAGATATTATTGTTCTTCCTGTTCTTGTTTCTCACATGTCGTGGGGCACAGGTTCGTTAAACGGCGTACATGTAACACAAGAATGTTACATGTAGGCGGCAGCATTTCCAATATAAAATAAATCTCACCCTTTCTAAACAACTCCGCGTCACCAGTCAGTCATCCCGTGGACGTTCTTTACTCAACGATTGGTCAAGCCCATATGTATGTGCCTGCATTGGCATGAAGAATCTGACCGAGATTGATGATGATACAAAGATCCAAATGACGCGACAGGCCGTCTGCCCGCCGCCGCCCAGTCCATAAAAGGCAAATTAAATTTCTGGACGATGAACATCTACCGGCCCCCAAGGAATTGTTTCGAAACCCGGACGCGAATAGACGCAAGTCTAGGAAAACCCATAAATAACGTACGAGGTATCTGCTGCCTAAACTCCATAAGGATAAGGTAGCTTGTCGAAGTATTACCACGTGCTGTGCTACTACTACGGAAGGGGCGGAAAGAATAGTGCATACGTGTCTAGCTGAAATGTTGCCAGTTTGTGATGCATTGTGGAGAGAAGTTGGAAGCTCCATTGGAATTGATTCCCCCAGTAGTTGGATTACTAAAGGTGGAGAAGAAACCCTGGAGATTTACCTGAGGCAGACCAGATGGCACGTTCGACTGGTGATTCTGCCCCACATGTTGTGGAAACAGATGACTTTGTTGCCATGTATAACCTTTGTCTACTCTTTTAGTTCAATTGAAAGACTTCATTGATTTGGTGTTTGACTTCCAATTTCGTGATTCTGGATATCGTTAAATTAATGTACAATATGGCTTTAAGAATTAATAGTTGTCCTTTCATTATCAAAGAAGAAATTCATTGGTCAACGGAGGAACTGGTTGCAGCAAATTTATTTGGAAGTCGTGAAGGAGAAGACATTTCTTATTGGGAAAGAACGTCTTTTTTAGTCGTGTGAATTTGTTTTGACGGAAGGTTATGTTCAGTTTGGACCTCGTATGTATCGCCAATCTTCTGGCATATTTTTTATGGGATCCTCACCTGCACCTGATTTTGCCAATATATTTGCTTACATGCTTGAACTAAGGCTTAATAAAGAGTTGGTTTCAGAGTTCCGGGAAACACAACATAGTGGTCGTACCCATTATATATACCCCTGAATGTTCATTGAACAATACAAGGTGTGCCCGAATGTTGTTCAGGTGTTGCATGAAGCCCTGACATGAAACTGCATTGCAACCGCAACCGCTAAATCTCTCCACAACCATGCCCTTTTTGCTTGCTGTTGGAATAATATCCACGCGGTGTGGCGTCTTTACGCTGGTGCCAAGTCTTCCGACGGCAAGAAGTTCAAGCACGTCACCGTATACGGATTACGCGCAACGAAGTAGTTGCAGACGAAGACGTGCTGAAATCTTAACGGAACGTCGACGTCGTAATGCAAAGAACAACACACCACACGACTCAGACCCTGAACTCGATATGATACGTCAACATTTTAGCCAAAGGAGGAATCGTGCACCAAGGTTGCCAGCACCGAGTCTAGACACCCACCCATCGCGGTGATGCTAATAACCAAATACGCCTTGGAGTGCAAGACATTGACTCGCAATCATTCGACTTCCCCTCGGCACCTTTCGAGCTACAACACACGGATTTGGATGATCCACAAAATATCACATGTTCTCACTGCAATGCTCATCTTTGGGAAGAAGGAAAAAATATTAAACTGTTGTAACAAAGGCAAGTCGTGTATCCATCCTCTCAAATCTATCCCCCACCATCATATGGCGCTGTTTGAAACTACTAAATTCATTTCTGCTCAAAGAAGGTACAACGGGCTTTTCGGATTTACTGTATTAGGCGCAGGTGGTATTCAAAAAAGACACGGACTGAACCGCCAGCCCTTTCAATGCTCACCTTGCATGGACGTACTTACCACCGCATATTCGACCTCCAACAACATCATGAGAACTATTCCGTGTCGAACAACTGGAGTTTTTACATACACGATTCTGAATTCACACAGAACGCGTCATCCCTTAAATTAGACGCAAACATCGCGACAACTTTACGAACCCATGCGCACAGTAACATTCCGTGGGCACAACCATACCGATCTGCTGTAGATAGCAATATTAATCAACCTACCGCCCACCCCGCTGAATCCGCGGACGCTGCGTACATTAAGTTCGCTGAAGTAAGCCGAACAAACGACGGACCCGTTGTAGGTGAAAAAGTTTCAGCACCGGAAATTGCAGCTAGCTTCAGTCTTCACATCAGGTATCACGTGCTGTAGTAAATTATCCACTTGACAGTCCGGACGACAAGCCTAGGTTGCTGCCCCTGTGGAGTGCAGCGTACGAAACTCTTCAGTTTCCGATGCTAATGCTCCACGGCTACGTTCTTACCGGCGTACGAGTAGAGAGGCGACCGTAGCTTACATCTCTTTTTCGTCCGCAGCGGGGGAAGCTAGACAAAGATTCACGTACACGCGACTCTTTTGGCTTCATGTTACACCGGGAACGGCACATTTCTCAACTACAACGCGAACATCTTCACACCGTTCATTCGATCACCCTGCGGCTTCATGCCCTTGGTATGCTGTGCACAGCCTTCACACCTTCCCTTTAAGCCTACTACCAAGGACGAGGGCGCCTCTGCGCCCGAAGTCCGGAGCCCTTGTATAGATAACATGATATGTCCCCGCCCCCTCCCCCAAATGACCCTGATTTTCGATTATTAGTAGGCCTGTGTTGCTGTGTCTTGATTTTTTTTTCGCACAGACCCTTGGTCCACCAGGAAATAAATATACACAGGAGAAGGTCCGTCGCAGAACTATAGCCAGAATACCATGTACATATAGCAGCCAGTAGTACATACAGCAGCAGTCAGCAGCAGTACAGCGGCAATAGCCTTACATAGCATGATACGGCACGCTGCGTCTCGCTTGATGTTTTGTATACGACTCCACCCATTCCCTCTGCATCCGTTCGCAGCGACTACTGTAGCTAGATGGTCGTGTGAGTGTGTACGCTCAATAAAAGCAGGTTGCGTACGTACAGTGTTGTTTCTCACATTAGCTCTAAAGTCCACAGTGTACAGCAGTGGTTCACCAGATGATCGAAAAAGAGGGGGCGCCCTGCTATTCACAGACCTGGGGGTCGGTATGGTCCGGTGGGGATCCGACATCGTGGGGGCTACGTGTACTGGGTACTGGAGTCGACGGTGTGCAGCGTACCGGTCATATCCTAACACTGCTCATCCATTTTGGAGAGGTGCTGATTACGAACAATTTTTTCCCCTTCCAAACGTTTCGGTATCTTGCCTCGATGGACACCACTGGGACGGGAGGAGAGTCGGGGAGGGCGAATACTATCCGTGTTATCTGCGGGAGGGTGCGGGGGCGTGGTTCGGGGGACATTTGACCGGCTACTCGTCAAGAGGAGGAACGTCTGCATCGACACCCAAAAATTGAATCCCGAAACCCGTAACGTGCAAGTCATAGGTTCGATTCACACCTGTAACTGCTTTTTTTCGGACGGTTCGATAAAATATTCGGCAGTGCTATTTGCTCCACCGGTGGAGTAACTTCTTATTTGTTCCACCAGGCCAATCTCCGCCCACAGAGCTCCAATCGACCTCAAACCAATTGCATCGTGTAGGTATGGGTCACAGCTATCCGACAATTTGTTCGAAAACTATATCCGACCAGCCGTGGCATAGATATGCTCGAAAAAGGGGGCTCCGCCGCATCGCAGGAAGTAGTAATCGTACCATATCTCCCGCTGCACCCGTCCAATCGCCCTAACCTCTTTTGCATCGTGTTAGCACAGTCCATACCTTTCATTCAAGCTATCGTGCGCTCACCTCCGATATCTCAGTGCAGAGAAATGGTGAACAGAGGGGGTTTCGCAGCATGTCGGCAGGGGGTAAACGTCATTCATCCCTCTATACCTCCCGTGACATAGCTCAACCAGGCAGAACCTGCAATGCACCGTGTTGGCACGGCTCACAGCTTTCATGCAGGCCATCGCGCGCTCCAATCGGACTTGTGCGTGCAGAGAAACCCTCACCAACGGGGGTTCAGCGACTCAAAGGCCGGTGGAGCAGATAAGCCTTATCTACTCCACCAAGCCAAACTCTTCGTACAGGACATTTTTAGCCCTGCGAGTACTTGCATTGTGTTTGCACGGTGCGCAGCTATCATACAAGCCATCGCGCGCTCCAATCGGGCTCGTGCGTGCAGAGAAAGGCCTACCCACGGGGGCTCAGTGACTCAAAGGCCGGTGGAGCAGATACGCCTTATCTACTCCACCAGGCCAAACTCTTCGTACAGGACATGGTTTGCCCTGCGAGTACTTGGATTGTGTTCGCACGGTGCGCAGCTATCATACAAGCCATCGCGCGCTCCAATCGGGCTAATGGGTGCAGAGAAAGGCCTACCCACGGGTGCTCAGTGACTCAAAGGCCGGTGGAGCAGATACGCCTTATCTACTCCACCAGGCCAAACTCTTCGTACAGGACATGGTTTGCCCTGCGAGTACTTGGATTGTGTTCGCACGGCGCGCAGCTATCATACAAGCCATCGCTCGCTCCAATCGGGCTCGTGGGTGCAGAGAAACTCGTAACCACGAGGGCTCAGTGACTCCAAGGCCGGTGGAGCAGATACGCCTTATCTACTCCACTACGCCAAACTCTGTCGCAGTCATGGCAACGTTTGGTAGATGTCGAGTCGCAAATTGACATGCTACCCATTGAATTGCAATCTCCATGATTGTATTGCTCGCGCGTAGCACTTAATTTATGAAGCGTCCTACTCTTGTGGCTAGTCCTCGATTCCGAGACAAGTTACTGGAATAGGCAAACACCCTCCCGGCGGAGCTGGGTTGGGGCAGGGTTCAACATAACGCGTGGGTGTGCTGTACTGATAGAATTGGGTTAGGGTTCTCAACCCCGCCGTGGGTGTGGGCGGGGATATGTTGCAGGGGGGTAGGTGTCGTGCAACATGAACACAAGAAGTCTAGTGAGCTACACTCCAAATATATTCACAAGTGGTGACCGTTGGACGAGACGCACGCAGTACATTCCGTGGCCCCACGGCAGGAGTAGGTACCTCCGAGAATGCCGTCAAACTCGCCTGCCCTGCTCAATGTCCAGCATCTGGTTGAAACGCTGAAGCCGATCCCAAAGCGCAGAGCAAACCATGTCCTGTACGAAGAGTTTGGCCTGGTGGAGTAGATAAGGCGTATCTGCTCCACCGGCCTTGGAGTCACTGAGCCCCCGTGGGTAGGCCTTTCTCTGCACCCATTAGCCCGATTGGAGCGCGCGATGGCTTGTATGATAGCTGCGCACCGTGCGAACACAATCCAAGTACTCGCAGGGCAAACCATGTCCTGTACGAAGAGTTTGGCCTGGTGGAGTAGATAAGGCTTATCTGCTCCACCGGCCTTTGAGTCACTGAACCCCCGTTGGTGAGGGTTTCTCTGCACGCACAAGTCCGATTGGAGCGCGCGATGGCTTGCATGAAAGCTGTGAGCCGTGCCAACACGGTGCATTGCAGGTTCTGCCTGGTTGAGCTATGTCACGGGAGGTATAGAGGGATGAATGACGTTTACCCCCTGCCGACATGCTGCGAAACCCCCTCTGTTCACCATTTCTCTGCACTGAGATATCGGAGGTGAGCGTACGATAGCTTGAATGAAAGGTATGGACTGTGCTAACACGATGCAAAAGAGGTTAGGGCGATTGGACGGGTGCAGCGGGAGATATGGTACGATTACTACTTCCTGCGATGCGGCGGAGCCCCCTTTTTCGAGCATATCTATGCCAATACTGGTCGAATATAGTTTTCGAACAAATTGTCGGATAGCTGTGACCCATACCTACACGATTCAATTGGTTTGAGGTCGATTGGAGCTCTGTGGGCGGAGATCGGCCTAGTGGAGCAAATAAGAAGTTACTCCACCGGTGGAGCAAATAGCACTGCCGTAAAATATTTCCACCAGATTTTTTTCTTATTTCGTCTTGAGAACTACGGCAGTATCGCTTGCGACCCTGGATCGGACGTGTAAGAAGCTTGGAATACCCAATAATGTGAGTGATATTGTCTTGGCTTCCAACGCTAACGATTTTCGCGGGGGTTGATCGAGCGTTGTCGACGAGTGTACAGAATATTCTCCATGTTGGCTGATGATTAACTGTCCAAACGCCATCTGCGACACACAGCAAAACGGCCCACGACAACCGCCTGCACATCAGCCCTACATACTTGTCCTTGACGGGTACGCAACGCATGCGCCTTTTCGTCCAGCTCTCAGGGGGCGGAGACAAAATCAGTGACAGCGATTCGGCAAGATACGACCCTCATACATTTCTACCGAACGTGGATCTGTATTTATTTCCTCCGCTCAGCTCATCTCGTACAGTTTTCATCCGTCCGTGTAGTATGGCTCGCAACTGGCGACGGAAGCGAAAGATCCACCGTTCATTTGACCTGACCACAGAGCAGCTGCCCATGGCAGCGCGCTGCTTGTTGTCCACACTGCCTACCCGGTCTGAACGGGTCGCGCTCTCGGCCCGGAGGGTGCAGGAACAAGCAAGAGAGATTGCCGACGGTCGCCAACAACATGGACAGCGGTCTCAACGCTGAGCGAATCCTAGCGCCGGACACGACAAATGGATTTCTCTGGATCCTCATCGTGGGCACTTTCGGTGCCTTCTTTGCTGCTTTCGGCATCGGAGCCAACGATGTCGCCAACGCGTTCGCCACCTCCGTGGGGGCCAAGGCCCTGACCCTCCGCCAGGCCGTGGTGCTGGCCGGTATCTTCGAATTCCTGGGCGCTGTGTTCCTGGGCTCGCACGTTACCAGCACCATTCGCTCTGGCACCGCGGACGTGAGTGAGTGCGGGTGGCTGCAGCAATGTTGTGTCTTTTGGTACACACACATCCATCCGCCTCCCTGTGTGTGTGTGTCTTATGTAGCATAGATCGTTCTGTATGCTACGAAGCACACAACAAGCAACGCGAGAGAACTTGGTCGATCGGTGTGGTGGACAATCTTTGTACTGCTGTTGTTGTCGCTGAAGGGGATGTTCGAAGCCAGAACGACGGGTATGTGTATGTGTAGTTAGTGTAACCGATTGAGGACACGAGATATCGCACCTCCTGGACCAATTCAGAGTTCGACTACTGTAAACTCCACCACGACAAACTGCGTAGTACATTCATGCGTATATGAAGTACGTGTTCGGAACGTGCTACATCACGAGGCGGTTTGAACGCCGACATTTTCTGCATCGCCGCTCTTTCTTCTTTGGAGAAAAAGGGTCAAATCGAAAAATCAATCCAGCCGGGGTTTATAAACTATATAGACTACAAGGCTCCCCTTCGGGATGAAGGTGCAATGGCCTCCCGGGGGCGACGCAAGAGGAAATGGAATTTAGGGGTTGTATCGTAGCGTGCGGTAGTGCTGGTGGCCGTATAATAAATCGCACGTATCATCGGACGGTGGAGGCGGGTACGGTTGACCAACGAGTGTGATATTTTTATGTTAATGTTGTACAACTGCTATTGGGCAGCTGCAATCTCTATTCCCGTTCCGTAGGTGGTTGGGGTTGCCATGAGTTGAAGGTAGTGTGCGACACTTTGATAGGTTTGCTGAGGATGACCGGCTATTTGAATGTGCTCTGAATTTATTCCCGCTGAGATTCTCTGGAAGAAGGTATTTTGACCTGAGCCTGGGATGGGGATATAAAGGTTGTTCATTATGTGGTCGATGAGTTGCCCGAGGGCCGAAGAGTGCATGCTAGGATCATGGAAGACGCGACGGACGATACATCGCAGTAGGCATGCACCATCACCAATTCGTCGACAATATGCCAGGACCTGTATGTGCCAGAGCCACTGGAAGGGTTAATTGCTGTTGTCATTTCCGTTGTTGTTGCCGTTGTTTTGGTCATCACGGTCGCCTTGGTTATTGTTGTTATTGTGGCTGTCGTTGGTGCAACCGTGACCAGGTAGTTGAATGTCGAACACTGGTGGACGTTGCACACTCTTCTGAGCAGCTACCTACTATACCCCTTCTGTTACCCGGGACTGGCTGCATTAGCACTTCATTTCAGCCGCGGCCCTGGCGACTAATCGGCAATAATAGCGATTCAATCATTAGTTTGCACACGCAAACGAACAGAGTTAAAGATTCAACTAATTCCAACAAAAGTTAAAGATTCAACGAATTTCAATAGTAGGACTAAAGCTCAAATAAATGTGATTTTGGATATCGATTATTGACGTGTTTGCGCAGCACAAAATTTGGCTCGTAACGACCAGTTCGGGGTATCTAAAGTTCCTCCGACGCGACTTCTGCCTAAATATGTCTTGAGATTTCGCCATTTAGAGAAATTTGCAAGCAAAATTTGCCGCCCGAACGACCACGCGCGCTGGTTGGTCCACGTCAGTTTGGGCCGCTTGCTGCGCCGTTGTGGCACGAGACGGCACGAGACGGCAGCGGGCTACGAGACGCGCAGCCAGTGCCCGCCCCATGCCCCTATACACAAGTCATGGATAGAACCAGGAGGAGGCCGATCCGGGATGTCAACCTTAAACGCCGCTACGGCGCCATGAGCCCCGGAGAACTGATGCATGAGCAGCTTTGCCTCTTGTGCGCAGCTGTCCTGCTGTTGGTTGTTGGCAGCGAGGAAGAAGATGAACACGAAACGGAAGAGCTCGAGTTGTGCGCTGCGCTCATAGCGCTGCAGGTGGAGACAGTACGGGTAGATCGCACGGTCATCAGGACAGTGAGGGGGAGGGATTTGTGCATCGCCGACATCTCGGAGGACAGGGCGTGGTGTGACTATCGCTTCAATTTTCAATTAGGTGCACATGTATGTGCACATGTTTCCTGACCCCTTCGAACTCCACGGCTGGCTGCATGTATGTATGTGCGCGGCGAGATTACACGGCCAAATGCGGATCATCTGTCTTCGTCTTCCGGGTTTTTTTTTTTGCGCACGGTGGAAAGACTTTATTTTTAACAGAAATTGCATCATCATCAGTATAGCAAATTTCGTTGTATGCGCAAACACGTCATTGTACTATACCCATGCAGAAAAGGATCGTTGATGAAGAAAGATTCAATCTGATTTTTTTTTCCGAGGAATCTAATTATAAGAGGAGGAACGGTCGTGTTGTGATTTTGGACGTATTTTTTAGATGATCCAGTCCAGCTCATGGGCGGGTTTAGAACGTACGTATACCCATCAACGGAGTCGTCACAACAGGTACCTATATGCATACCCATTCTGTTACCTGAGGCTGACTGCATCAAGAAGCTCATTTGATCTACTCTGAAGTATCTATCTATGTGCATAGAAAAACCGAAAACATATATTGTATTATGCGTGACCTGTAGAGATCCAACGCAAGGGCGAAAGGTTCACCACTCAAAAAAACAATATGGAACATTACTCGGAGCAATCTAATAGACGATGTTGATTGTTTTATTCTTTCTTTCCATGATCCAGTAGCTTCATGCTTTATAACGTGTGTACGCATACCCATCGGCGCACTCTTCTGAGCAGCTACCTACTGTATCTGTCACCCGGGACTGGCTGCATTAGCACTTCATTTCAACTACATATGTATGGGAGCGACATTATTCACAAACAACGTATTCCTCATTTTGTGTGAGCTTCAAAGATTCAACCTCCAGGAAGGGTGAAAGGTTCACCAACAATCTGGAAAGATTAACTCCGAAATGAATATTCGGAATGAAGGGCGAACGGTTCACACAACCAATAACTCGAGCAGAACTCCACTTTTTTGAACGTACTACACGCATCGCTATGTATTTTGTGATGCCTTCCTGTATTCCTGACTGACTGCTATTACTACCACCGCTGAATGCATCATCGGTGATCGGACAAATGGGGACCAACCTCCTGCCTGCAAAGACACGGCAGTAGATCCTCGGCGATTAGCAAATGGTGTCACGATCTATTTACTACGTAAAGATTCAACAAATTCCAGGACTGAAAGCTCTCTTGAGGAAATCAATACAAACGTGCAGAATTTGCGTGGAACTTGCTCCATGGGTATTGGCGGCGGACATGGGCGTTATCAGTCCATGTCATGTGTGTAACGGCATTCATTCAGGAGGTACACTACTGGTGTCGACGAAGAACCTTGGGTAAGAGCCCCGAGGATCGTGTTGGCGTTGTCGACAGGACCGACCGTGGTATTGACTGTATATGTCATGTCAACAGTTTTTTCCTCCCGTTGTAAACAAACTCTGCAGATCGAGTGCTTCACGGACAACCCGGGGATCCTCATGTACGGCAACATGTGCGTCGTGTACACGAACGGGATCTGGCTCCTGCTGGCCTCCTTCTTTGAGCTGCCCGTGTCCACCACCCACTCCACCATCGGGGGCATCGTCGGGATGACCATGACCTACCGCGGCGCCGACTGCGTGGTCTGGTACGAGGAGGCCGACCACTTCCCCTACATCAAGGTGGACTTTGACTTCACCTGCTTCGTGGTGTAACACACGCTACAATGGATTGTTATTATCACCCCGATCGGCCGTCGCTCCCTGTCCCCGAAAAGGCTTACACTGTAACTCGAGTGGAGAAAGCGCGACAAGATTTTCTCACGCCACACGTGGGACACCTGACTTCCTTGCTGGTGTCATTGCTGTTGTCGTTGTAGTTCTTGTTGTTGTTGCTGTTGTTGTTGGCTTCGCGTGAAAAAAAGACGTTCCGGTCGCCACTCAGTGCCTTACTACTTCTATACCCTTACCGGTCCAACTGACGTGGAAGTCTTCCGTGGTCACAGACTAACTGTACCCAAGGAGAGGGTACAGTACACCTCCTTCCTAGAATCAATGAAACGGAAAATAATTACGCCGCAGTACTGTATACAAAACAGACCCAGAAGAGACAGATATATTTCCTCCAAAACCGCGATGATGTATCCGCGATCACATAGAAGGTAATAACGTTCTTGCACTTCCACCGACAACCCAAACTGGTTGCCCCCAACCTACCTGTGCTCCTGTGCCATGCCAGGGTGTATTCGCCATCGTGGTCTCTTGGGCGCTGTTCCCCGTGCTATCAGGTGTCGTCGCCACCCTGCTGTTCTTCGTCGTGCGGGCGCTCGTGCTTCGGTCCGAGCACGCTCTCAACCGTTCCATGATTGTCTTCCCGTTGCTGGTAACCGTCACCATTGCCATCGAGGGTGAGACGTGCGGGCAACAGTTGGGAGTAGAGCTGGGAGGTTTCAGCCACTGAATGTATGTGGCTACGTGGTATAGCGTGGTGCGTGGTACAAGCGTATTATTCGGGGTGAGTCAGAGGAGGACCGTCATGTGTCATGTGTGGCAACGTGTACTGTCCGGGCATCGATGGGAGTCGTTGCGAAACCAGCCCCCGCTACGTTCCGCGTTGTTGCTGAAGACACGGTGTGGACTTCCAACGCAGTATTGATCTTGGGTACAATCTTCCGGCTGGTCGGTATTGCTTGTACGAGTCCTTAACCGTAACCAAATTGATTTAATTCTCGACTTAGTGTTGTGGTGTTCTTTGGTGTTTTTCTTAGTTGAAACCTCCACGAACAAAGGATGCCAAGACCAAAATGCTATTTCGGAAAGGTCTCGACGCGACCCAGACATTCTCGGCGCTATAACTCTTTGTTCCGCAGAGTATTCGAGCTCTAACTACCGACCCAGAGGGTGTGGTATCTTATGCGACCTACGGCAGGCACTGCAAGCATGACGCCTCCCGCACCCACGACGCACACCACGATGATGTGCTTCCATTTGCGGGTCGGGTGGCAGCGTGGTCGATGTTATAAAAACGAAGCACAAACACTTTGTGCACTTCCTTGCCCCCTTAATACCAACCTCCTTATTCGGTAGTTTTCTTCCTCGTGTACAAGGGGGCCAATGGCCTTAGCCTGGACAACCCCTCTGTCGGCACGGCCTTCGCATGGGCCTTCGGTCTTGGAGTGGGCGTCGGCCTCCTGATGATCCCCACGGTGCTCTCCTTCATGAGGTCCAAGATTGAAGCCAAGTTCAACGAGGACGGCACCCTCAAGCCGGTAAGACCTGACTGTACAATGGGCGCCACCATACTGAAACCAGTACAATAATCTCCCGCATACTAAACCCTATACACTTGGGGGGCCCCGCAGAATCACAAACCTCGCTCATCTTGTCGTTGTGCACCCTGGAGGCGCTGACTGGATGGCAGAGTGACAAACTCTTCTGGCGCTTCCTCGTCCGTTTTATTTCGGTTTCTGAAAGTGTTTGGTACCATGGAAGACACGGCCGAGTGGCGTTATATTGATGCTGCTTCCTCAGCCCTCACCCAAAGGCATGGGCTCCACTGCATGACTTCGGAAAGGAACCCTTCCTACGGCCAAGAGGGAACTGCCCTTTCTCTCGTTCTCTCGGAGAGGGGCAGTCCTGGAAGCCGTCGAAACTCTCTCCTACACGTTGCACCCGAAGCGATACTTGTCGACAACCACTCGTTTTACGACCTTGCAAGATGCCGCAATGGTTCCGGGCCCTATTTCATTCCACAAGGCAAACACGTTTCCCTTTGAGGGTAGACCTTCAGGCACACGATCCTCCTCGCTTCCCTTGCCCATGCCCTCGCAAAAGACGGTCTGCAATATGCCCGTCTCCAACCCCTGTTTCATACTTGTCAATCAATAGTGGCCGCCGTCGCAATCCTCCCTGGGCGAATGAGTAAACTGCCCTCCGTACTTGCTCGTTCATCTGTCTCCCTGTCGTTCCTCCATCGACTTCTTCCCTCCCTTCCAAACCTTGCTCATACGCCCCCCTCCCTTTTACTCTTCCATCGTCCCTCCCTAAAACTCCTCCCTCCCTTTCGTCCCCCACCACGGGTATTCTTCAACGCCATCAGTGAAAATCTCCAACAATAAATATCAGAAGCAACATCTACTCTGCGATCCCATCTCTCCCCTCCCCTGTTTGTTGTTGTATTTGTTATTGTCTTCATGTCTGCGGTCGGCACCTCCTACTACCGTTGTGGCTGCGGTTGTAGAGATGGTTATTGGGACGAGCCAACAAAACTCTCTTTCATCGGAACCGCGGTGCCATATATGTATTTGCCCACGGTGTAGACAAGCCAAAATCACCTCGTACATCCGATTTTCTCTGAAGCAATAATCGCTGGTACACCGAAGCCACTACTATATCATCAAACATCTGTCCTGCTCCAACTGGCGCGGACGCCTTCTTCTTCGTCCTCCCGCGGCCCTGTCCTCCCGCGGCCCTGTCACCGTTCGAAAAACAACCCTGAGAATATCGGATGGCTGTCGACGTGAAAGAAGAGACCGCCGGCGGCGTGGCAAGGTCCGCCCAACGCGAGCTCGTAGTAGGCACTACTGTATCAAACACCCGTACTGGTCCCAACTGACTGACGCGGGCGCTCCTGTACGATTCGAAAAACGCCAATACATCAGGTGGCCGTCGACGTGAAGGAAGAGGCCACCGGCGGCGTGGCGAGGTTCGTGCAGCTCCAGCTCGACCAGGACGTTCACGCCACCGTCAAGGACAACGACTACGTAGACGCCATCCACGAGAACGCCGAGAGGTCCGACCCCCGAACGGAGCAGGCCTTCAAGTACGTGCAGGTTAGAGCACGCCGGGTGCAAACCTCCAGCTAGACTGCTGCTATGTACGGTACGGGGGTGCATCTTTGCGGTGAAATATGCGTATTACACGTTTGGGAGAAAACGGGGCAGCCCTGTTTCGGTTATCGCACGGAAAAAAAGGACGCGGGGAACAGGCTTGTTCCGCGGAGTGTGCCCTTGCCTGAAAGTACAATTTGGGGCGGCCCCTCCTACCGGACCGTCACTCGCTACGCCCCGGCGTACAAACTCCCCCGTCGATTCGATCCGGCATTCCGTCGCATTTCTTTGTTTCCTGCCTTTGGTTTTGTCGTGTAGTACAGGTACGTAGCCCACGCACTTTGCTTTAAGAACGTGTAAATCCAGCGAGCTTCGAGCCCCGAACGGAGGAGGTGGGGCATCTGATTTCGCCACACCACCATCGTGGGCAGCAGCCTTGAAACAACGCGTAGAACAACTCGATATTTCCGTCTATGCCAGCCGATTTCACCCGCCATAATCATAGGACGACCGGCGTATTCAGACCGCACTATTGGGGGACCTCCACGGCACCTCCAATTGACTACGTACTGGTGCGTACCTCGCGCCGCGTTCCGATGTGGCGTTCGGTCGTACCGTTGGTGACATGACGTAAGATATCACAACCCCTGGACCGATTGTTCAAAACTCGATTACTCCACGAGGAAGAGGATGCCGAGAGCAAGTGATGACACGTTTTCGGCGTGCTCTCGACGAGATGGTTTCATGGTGGCCATATTCGGCACCGTCATTCACTGCTAACCCTGCCAAGGGGTCGAGCGTTCAAAATCGGTCTAAGGGGTTGTGCTATATTTCGTACGCAACCTCCTGTGTTCTCGCGACCCTGAAAGAAACGACCTTCCAAACGGACAACTGCTGCTGCTGCTGCTGCTGCTGCTGCTGCTGCCACACGCAATGTGTGAGCTAGATGCAAGAGTTGGCCGGCTACTGCTGCTGCTAATGACGTTCATGTTTCAAATCCTTCACAGAGTGTAGTTCACCCCCTCTCTACAGGTGTTTACGGCTATCTGCGACTCCTTCTCTCACGGAGCAAACGACGTTGCCAACGCCATGGGACCCTTCGCGTCTATCTACATCGTCTACACCACTGGCGTGGTTGAAGAGGAAAAGAACTTGGGCAACGACATGTTTTGGATCTTAGCCCTGGGGGGCGCTGGGATCGTCGCCGGGCTCACGATTTACGGGTGGGTACGCCCGCACGCCCCCCCCTTGTCCGACCAAAAAACGAACCCTTAACCTTTTAACCCACTTGTGCCCACAATCCCGATTGCTTTCCCTGGGGAAAGATCGCAAACACACATGGGCGTCTCCTCGTTGCTGTGTTTGCCATCCTTGCCGCCATTATTCGTGTGCGTGTGTGTTTGTTTTTCTATTGCTAGCATCGCCCGCGCTAACCGGCTGACCAATGAAAAGACGTCAGTCTCAGAGCGGTTGAAAACACAAAACACTCCTAAATGCCATTAACGGGGACCCCGTGAGGGGTGGGCATGAGGGAGCTAAAGTATTCTTCGGATCAAACACAGAAACGGTGTTTGTCTGTGTGTGTATGTTTGCTATTAGCATCGACCGCGCTAACCGGCTGACCAATTGTGTGTGTGCGCGTGTGCGCGCGTGTGCCGCGATAGTGCCCACACATGCAAGAGTCGGTCCACGAGGTTGAAGCAAAAACAAATAGGTCAGATCACCTCAGTCTCACGACAGTACGGGTTAAAGAACACGTTCCCCGCGTAGCCTACAACCCGTCACAAGATGGAGGTTTGACCGCCATGTCGAGCCTGCTACCCAGACGGGAGATGTGGCTGTGTGCTGCTCGGGGAACCGTAGAAACAAAGGTTGGTCATCGTGCAACACTATCAACTCTTCATCTGTCTGTCAAACATATGGATTTGTTTTGTTCTTCGTAACAAAAAACAAAAACTCACGCATAACCGTGTGGTTGTTCACGCTGATTAGCGCACCGTTCCGATCTCTTCTCGGCAACTTGTGGCATCCACGACGTACGTGTGGGCGTTTGGTTCTACGTTAGATAGATCTGAGAGTGATGAGCGTTCTCTTTGCAGGGGTCATTTTGGTTGTACGCGGCGGTTTCGGTGTGATGAAGATGAGAACGGTCTCTTGTAAGAAATCATGCCCCCTCCCACTCACTTCAACACATCCCTGTGGACTGTCGTTAAAATATCTCGAACGGGTAGTCTTTCTGTAAGGTTATGTACACTTTAAAAAAACATTTCTGCTTCTCATGCGCCCCTTCAAGTAAGCATTTTCTTCTTCAACATGAGGCCCTTCATCTTGAAAAAAAACTCGTTCCTTCAACTTGCCCCCCCCTCTTGTGATAAGTCGTTTCGGACTCGCTTTGCCCGCTTGCTGCTCCGTAGAACACCTTACTTACGGAAACACGTCTGCCTGAGGGCAGGTACACGACCATCGGTATCTAATCGTTTTTGTGTGAAGAGCTGTCTTGACATACTGATTGAAGCAAATCCACTGCGTGCGGTTTTCCTGTGTGCCGTTTTTGACGTACATCTGGTACGCTCACTACTTGTTGCTGCGTCTCCTCCACCCCCCACCAGGATAGATAGGGCGGGGACGTTTTTTTTCCCACCTCTTGAAAACGAAGAAGGAACGATTGGCCGTCGGTGATCGTTCCTGTAGGAGAAATAATGAGTCCTCTTGAGACAATGGTGTAGCCGCTAGGGCATGCAAAAGACGAGTACGCACCCAAATGCAGCACACCCTCCATGCGACTCGCTGCATACCTCGCACGGCGCTTCGCACTTGGTGATGTGAGAGGGCCTGGTCCGGTGAGAACTCGGCGTGCTCCGTCCTAACGGCGTTGTAGCGATGCGACGTCAATGCTGTGACGACTACGGCATGCACGACAATGAATACCCGCCCCCCCGTCCTGTTTGGTCTCGTGATTCTGACGCCTCCTTAAAAACAAAACCAACAGCTACAAGATAATCTCTGCCATCGGCGTAAAGATCCCGAAGGTCACTCCGTCCCGTTGTTTCTCGATCAAACTCGGGTCCGCGATCATGATCATCATCGGCACCCGGCTCGAGATCCCCTTCTCCCCCACCCACTGTAAGGTCAGCGGGATCTTGGATACAGTATAGTCTTTGCGAGGAATTTAAGCTTGGTTTTTAGTTGGAGGTACGGGGTGTAGGGGCAGGGTGAGGGGTAGGGATACGAAAATCCCCTCTGTCTCCGTTTCATACATTAACTCTCAAAGACTCTTAAAGTTTTTTGGGAAGACGGCCCCTTTGACAAGCTACATACCGGCTTTGTCTTTCGAGGAGATGTTGGAGGATCGGCCCCACACGCGCGAGCGAGCGTTATATCATCGTCTTGGTTTCTTCAAGGCACGCGCTGCACTGCAATATTGGGAGATCACCAACCAGATGGCTCAGATGCACGATGTCAACAGCGTCGCCATAAATTTCCGAGAAATGTACCTTTTTTCGTGCCCCGGGCGGCAGGACACCGAACAGGTTGTGGCTGGCATGACGTCATTCCCAGCCCTCGCTACTGCCATGGCACGAAAGTGATGGCTCATGTGTGTTTGTGTGCCTCAGCTTGGTCAGAGGCCGATCGAGAAAGAAGGTTTATCGAGTGACAGACATACATGCGAGAGGCAAGACGATCCCCACGCGGCATGTCCGTAATTCACATATCATCCACGAATGTATTCCCCGGAGGTCCCGTAGATCAGCCCACTACCTCGCGAGCCCACCACGACGAGACCGCTCGAAACTCTTCGACCCCAACTCCGACGGGTGGACAGCATCGTTCGAAAGAAAAGAGTCATCCTCATCTCACAAAATGAATGTGGCAGGCTCCAAAATATAGAAGAACGAGCTTGGCAATTTCTTCCTTTAGGGCAAGCTGAAACCCGATCACTACCACCACCGCGAGGAACTATGGATAGGGATAGGGTTATGACTAATGGGATCGCACCCCCCAATCTTTTTGACTTTCGTTTTTGCTCCGTTGCTGGTGGGTACTAAGCGCTCGATACTGATCTACGGAGATCTAATGTAGGGGGTTTCGTGTATCATTGGCGGTATGTGTTGGTAGAGGGGCAGTCCCCCTCTGCTGTGCATGGGCTAGCATGCCCGGCTCGCTCGTAAAAACACCAAGGTCTCTCGTCAACCTTTCTTCTCTGCGCTCCTGACAACAAGCTGCTCGCCTCCAAGAACCCGTACTTGACACCAAGAGGTCCGCAAACCCAAGACCCACAAGTGACGTGTAATGGAGCTGCTAGTGTATGAGCGTTTCATGAACCGAACGTTGTATGAGCGCTTCTTGGATATTTTTAATTTTCGTTGGATAGACTATGGCTATTTGGAGAGGTCGTTGTATTTGGAGAGGTCGTTGTGGGGTATTGAAGTAACTTGAAGGAGGATCAAAGTCCCAGCCCCGCTCCCTCACTCTCGAGTGGGCACTGAGCGGACCTCGTCTAAGAAGGCTAACACAAGAGGTCAAACAATAGCTGTGAGTACCCGAAGCTGTAGGAGCAACGGGCTTCCTCCCTTTCCTATTTATTTTTCTGTTCCTCCATAACACGCGTGGAAGGAAGAGCTCGGGGGAGAGATTCTGTCACGGAGGCAGACCAAATACAATCTGTTCGGTAGACAATTTATTAGAGAGTCGCACCAATCGATCGAGCTAGGTTCGACAAGCAAGCGTTGTAGCAGCGCGCGTGTGTGTGTGCCAATATTTCCAGCATTTGCGGCACCTTTTGAGAGGTGTCCTTCTGCTGTAGTATGGTAAAGTGTTTGTTTCACGCGCACGCGTCCCTCACGAATTCAAGCGGCGTGTGTGTGCCGATCTTTCCAACGATTTCGGTGCCTTTTGAGAGGTGTCCTGCTGCTCAATGGCAAAAAACGTGTTGTCGCACGCACGTGCCCCCCACGAAACCTGTCAAAACGGCATTGCGTAGTAAGTGCGGTGAGCGCTGATATGAAGTAAGGACAAGAAAAAACATAAAAAGTACGAGCGGCGTGCACCGCCGCCAGAGTGATTTTTCACGTTTACACAAACCGTTCAACGTTTTACCCCACGCACGCCTCGGGCTTTAATCGTCTTGGGACACAGACGTATTTAACTCGCCGATCATGACGGACCGCTCACAATTTCTGTTATCATACCCCACCTTCGACAAAGTACAGGAAGGAATGGTTTGTTGTCGGTGATCGGTCTTGCGGGAACAACGCTCGGTCCTCTCGAGGACGCGTGGTCAATGCATTGACTAACCGCTAGGGTATGCGAAACATGAGTACGCCCCCCCTCCCAACCTTTGCCCAAAGTGGAAGGAATGGTGATCGGTCCATTGGAACAATGTTCCGTCCTCTCGAGGACCCGTGGTCAACGTTAAGGCATGAGCACTCCCTCCCCTCCCACGACGAGCGATCATGATGTCCTGCTGTTGTTTCGCTTATCATACCCAGGTTGGGGCTACTACCGGCGTGGCCCTTCTCGAGGGACTCGACGGGATCAACCTCAATGTCGTCGGGAAGACCGTGTTGGGGTGGATCACCACCAGCTTGGTATGCGGTATCACCTGCTCCGGGCTTTTCGCGCAGGGGGCCTATGCGCCCTACGCCTACGACACCATCGATATGTCGCCATCAACTTCTTCTTTCCCTTGAACGCAGGGAAAGAAGAAAAGCAGCATCCGAAACCTTCAACACCTGCCAGTCAAAGAGGGGCGGGGACGAGAATGCATATATGAAAGATGGCAATCAATCGACAACCGCTCGAAGGGATCGTTGTACGCGTCCGCTATTGTTCCAAAGCGGTAGCCACGGCAGAGTCAGGGTGTGGATACATACGGCGGGAAGGCCCTCGATTCCGGCCTGTGAAAGGGCGGGCTTGGATGCGTAGCATCCATGGATGCTACGCTGTATTCCCTCTACTGCTCACCGATCTGATGATGATCGGACTTGGTTTTTAGTTTTTGTCAGCGGACAGAGGCGGGGGAGCAGCAGTGAGGATGGACAAGATGTCTTGACTATCTTTCTCTGTGTGGCCCTCGGCCATATCTTCTTTCTCTTTGGCTGGAAAGGACGACTAGGCTCTTGTGTGTGGATTGGAGCGGCGTACGCATGGACGGGAATCTAAAGGGAAGAAAACGTCGATGACACTGTTCTGATGCTGTCGTCCGAGAATAGGGCTGTCTGGGAAATATATGATGTAGCAAGCTTATCAGTCAGTCGTGATTAATCTTTGTAGCAACCCATTCCAAGAGGTGGGGGCTGAGCAAAAGCCTGATTAGGTTTGCGGATCAACATGTTGCCGGATGAAACTCTTTTTTTTGGAGTAGGACAGGTGAGAGAAGGGAAAATCGTCTCCCCTGTCTGAAGTTTCCTCCTTATGATCGCTCTGCGTCGCATAGCAGCTTAAAATGTCCCTTCATAGTTTCTTTTTATTCGTGAGAGATTGAGGTGCATGGTACAGTACGGTGTGGTGGCAGTGTAGCCGTTTGCTAAGTGACCTTTGAAGTTTGATGTGTAGTGTTTCGTGTTCGTCGTCCGTGGTTGGCCTACGTATTGATTGGTGATCGTTTTCTGTCTGTGACTGTCTGTCTCTCCCTGTCGTCATATTCTGAAGAATCCGAGCAAACTACTCAAGAATGTCTCCAGAGAGTTGTGTAGCGAAGTACTGCAAGGCACCTAGACTTGTGCTGTAGCCTATACTGTAAGTACATGTACCTTCGATATTGTGTATTCGAAATATTGCATCCTGCATGAGCAGAATTCTTCACGCGTCGGAACCAGGCGAGCAACCTACCCCCACTAGCATGCGCGTCTGTATATATATGCCCAAGATGTCGTGATGTTGTGCACCTTGGAATGCTAGCTACAGTTAGCGCCGGCACACTATTGGACTACTGTATACAGTAGCTTCGAAAAACTCAATAATCGAAGAACTCGAGCACCATTTTGTGAGCCCGGTCAAGATTTTCGACAATTTTCCACCATTAGACTATCTATCTTGTAGTCAGCGCTGACTGAGTGCTCTTCTAATGGTTCAGCCGTGGATTGAATAAAAGAATACGTCGGCGCGCTCTTGGCCTCCCGGCTAGGACAGTGATCTACAGACCCTCCTACACGAAAACCTACGTAGTATGTATAGCAGCCAATTGTGGCATCACCTCGAGGAAACCCCAGCCTTGGCCAAAACGAGAGGTTATTGAGTGTGTGCGAAGGTGTACCGATTCTGGTAGAAGTCAATGGACAGATACCCTGCGAATCCGGCCCTCCTTAACACTCTCCACCCACAGAATTTACCTTCAACTGGGAACCTCTTGGCCAGGACGGGTAAATCCTGCCACTGACGCCATATGCGAAGATGTACCGATGCTGGTAAAAGCCAATCGACAGAGAGATACCCTGCGAATCGGGCCCTCCTTAACATGAGTGTGGGAACCAACTGTAGAGAAAGGCGAAGGCTCGAGCGAGCTCTTGATCTGTCCGCCCAAGGACCTCCAATGTCTGTAACCGCCGCCCGGCGTCTTCACGTTAATGTTCGGTCCGGCCTCTCTACCCAGTACCTTCCAACATCCGCACCGGTCCCAACTGAGTCGGATTTTCTGTGACCCGCATCAAGAAAATGTATACTTCATTGAAGAGGCAGAGGCTTAGACTTTCAAGTTTTTCATTTTTGTCGTGAAAGTCCAAGCCTCTGCTTCTCAACGAAATATTAATATTTCTTGATGCGGGTCACAGAAAATGCGTGCGAACGAGCTCTTGACCTAAGTTCAGTCTAGGTGCTTGCCATCTGGGGTGGTTTTTCGTCGCTTGGCAGCGATGTTGTCAAACAAGCCGATCACTTCGGGAGCTCGGCAGCCAGGTTGCCGCTTTTTTTTTTGCCTCTGGTTGTTTTTAGCCTCTGTTTTTCTTTTTCTTGCGGCAACCATAATGGTGGTCGAGTAGATGATGTTGTGCGGGGTCGAGAACCCTCACTCCGCGCAAAGGGCATGATCACATCACGTCGTGTTAAAACTGGTCAAGCACCCTATTATAGAGGTATTTACGCAATGCTTATAACTGTATCTGGAAGTGAAAGTGCGAGAAATTCAACTAATTATGTCATCCGCAGCTGTCATCCGCGCAAGGAAGTAAGCACAAGATGCCGAACACCATTAGCACGATGCAGCGCACCCTTCATGCGACTCGCCGAATACCTCACGGTGCTTCGCGCTGGGTGATGTGAGAGCCTGGTCCGGTGAGAACCCGGCGTGCTCCGTCCCGGCTTTGTAGGGATGCGAGGTCAATGGTCTAAAGACTACGGCATGCAGGACTATGAGTGCACCCTCCCCCCCCCCCCGCCCACCTTGACCGACTCTCATTTCTCGATCGATTGCTCCACAAACAAGAGGGGGACGCTAATGCCAGCAGATGGGCCTACCATGGAAAGCTCTCCACGAGATAGATACATACTCCCGAGAACACCCTTCGTTTCGGCAGGGTCGTGCCCTCCCTCTCGGCTGTGGAGCAATCGAGCCATCTATCGTCGATGGGGGCGTGTCCCACGGGGTGTGTGTGTACCGAAGGATTGCATAGTTTTGCAAGGGGGGGGAGGGGGGCGGTGTACTGCTCATCATAGATAGACCTGGCATCCCTACAACGCCAGGGACGAAGCGATACGCCGGGGTTTCGCCGGCCGGCCCAGGCTACGTTTCACAAGGATGGACCAGAAGCTGGTCATCATCCTTGCGGTTTTCACGGTGGGGGGGCGGCAAATAATATCAAGTAGATGTTTTGGAGGTTTAACCAGCGGCCGGCCACCGCAAGTACGCTGCGAAAGGGAACTATACATCCGAACTCTACTGACGGCTGTAGACTAGCGGTCCTACGGTTGGTTTTAGAATAGATACTGCCTGCAAGAATAACCTTAAGGTTGGTCCATAGAGACTCGTAGGACGCGCCACCCGTCTCTCTCGGTCTCTGTCTCTTTTGTCTTTGTGTCTTCTGTCTTTGTCTCTTGTTTCTCTGCTTCTCACCCTCCCTCCCCCCTCTCTCGGTCTCAAAACGCATCACTTGATGCTATACATCCTAGGCGAAGTACCGCAGGAGGGGAGGGTAGAGAGCGGCTCTTTTGTGTGACCACGGGTTGGAATAAACGGCACTAGTGCTGTGAGCGCTGATTTGAAGTGAAGAACAAAAAAAAAAAAAAAAACATCCTGCAGTTCGTCGTGGAGCAATCGAGCTTTGAAAATCGATCCATGGGGTATGATATGTTCCGTCACCTACGGCAAACAATCATCACAGCAACGCCAACACTCAAATAGCTCCCTTCGGAAACTGGCCGGGGGGGGGGGGGGCGCGGACTCAAGTCAACGGGTTAGATACTTTTTTCAACGTCAGACATCTTAGGCACGGTCCTAGCGCCCAAAAAGCATGCCTGCCTTTGTCTGCCTACAGGATCAAACGCGTCTACAGAAGTCCGCCTCGGGAATTCACAGGAAACAACGTTACTCCCCCCCCGCAGTCCCGCAACCGCCCCGATCCTTGCCAAGGTGCCACGGGTTCAAACGAGGGGTCAAAGCTAAGCAGGAGAATGCCTGCCTTCTTATCTGCTACAAGTGGACCAAACATCACTCGGCAGCAGCAGGTCTGCCTGCGGGACTCACGGTCAACAAAGTTGCTCTCTGAGCCCCCCCCGCCACCACTCCGAACCTTGCCAAGGTGCTCACGAGTGCAAATCACAGGTCAAGGCTCGCAGAATCATGCCTGCCTTGTTGCTAAGTGGATCAAAATTATCACTAATAGGCCGCCTGGGGGACTCACAACAAACAAAGATAATTCCCTTAGCCCCCCCGCAGCCAACCGCCCCGACCCTTGTCAAGGTGCTCACGGATGCAAAATCAGGGGTCAAGGCTCGCAGAAGCATGCCTGCCGTGTATTGCATGGTGGATCAAACATGACTATAGTCTTTCCCCTTCGGGGACTCACAGAAAATAAAGGTACTGCCTGACTCCCTCCCTCCCGCCGAGATGCCCAATCAACCCATGGCATACATCTGGTTTGGCTCAGCGAACGCAACGATGACAACAAGCTTCCGACCGCCTACGCAGGATTTTAAGAGTATCTAGAAAAAGAATAGGGAGAGACCCTAAACCTAACCCTAACCCCAAAGCACGGATTGAATACTTTATCCCATACGTTTGCTTAATCGATTTTGCTGCGTAGACTACTGCAAGCTTCCGGTCCATCCTTGCGAACCGTGCCCTGGGCCGGCCGGTGGTAAACCCCGCAAACATATCGCTCCGTCCCGGCATTGTTGTAGGTATGCGAGGTGAACGGTCTATCGACTACGGCAGGCGTTTACACGGGTAAACTTCTCCCTCCATGCTTGTCAATGCCTGTTGCTCGCAGATACCATTCAGGGGACAATATCGGCCGGGTTTTTCTTTGCGAAGTGGCATCATCGTCCCGGCTGCCACACTCTGTTGGTCAGCAAAAAGGAGATCCATCGAGCTTCACGAACAAGACTTCAAAGTAAAAAACTGGAACGCGTTGTCCATTCAATCCTTGTCGCGCCGCCACAGAAGACACAACGCGACGCTTGTTCGCTCAAACCAAAACCGCAAAGCGCAGTCTCCAAACCCTTCGCACCACAACACCCGAACGAAATCGACGCCGGCGGCGGGACCACAGACTTCGCCACCCACGGGATGTGAAGGTCAGTCAATGGCGCTGTACGTAGAAGCTTTGCCAATAAACAAAAAACACACACAAACAGACAACGTGCGGCGAGGCAAACAACAGCATGTCTCCATTCTTACCGTAGGTGAGATGAGATATCACACACACACACACACATCCTGGATCGATTCTCAAACATCGACTATTCGTAGCAGAAACAGTGGTAGCGCCGAAAACGACGAGCTACGGCACCGTCACGTCGAGCGCTTTCCGGAAACGGACCGTTTCATCTATGCATCCTCCTCGCGGAAAAATCCAGATTTGAAAATCGGTCCAGGGGGTGTGGTATCTTGCGTCACATGTGGTAGTACAGTAGTGACAGGTATGCAAGTGGCAGTGCCTCGGGGTGGTTCTCGTGCAAACCCTCTCCTCGCGACATCGAAAAACGGAACAAAAAAAAACATACACCCCCCAAAGGCAAAAGCAGACTATTCATTTCCCCGCAACACTACAAAAAAATAAAAAAAATAATCTAGACCCAGGGGGGAGAGTAAGGAAAAAAAAAACTATTTGGCTCGAACACGGGCCCTAACAGAAACTAACTAATAGCGGCCCAGGGATGAGAAAGAAACAAGGCTATGGCTCTAACACGGGCTATGACATTAACTAACTAACAATCGAAGAACCCAGGAGGGAGAAAAGAAACAAAAATGTCTATGGCTCGAACAAGGGCTCTATCAGCAACAAACTAACGGAGATCCCTCAATATAGTGCCGGTATGCGCCCGTCAGATTCGCTGGCACTATTCAGAGAACGAGACAACAACACTATTCCATCCCGCGGTGTGACGGGATTTCGCCGGCATTCACAGTAGGCTGCACGACGTAAGATACCACACCCCCTGCTGGAACGATTTCAAACCTCGGTTGCACGGTGCCGGAGATGGCGGCGTTGGAACTGTCTCGTCGAGAGCGCTTTCCGAAAAGGTATCGTTTGATTTCGGGCAGAGGCACTATTAATCAACCGGCAGCGGCCCTATCCAACCGTCACTACTGAGGGCGCCCCCACTGCACCCGAAACCGTCACTCGGTCCTGCCATCGACGCAGGTCCCTCAAAGTGCCGGTATGTGCCCGCCAGATTCGCCGACACCATTCAGAAAATGAGACACCTAGACTATTCGACGGCCCTATGTCGGGCAGCGGCCCTATTCAACCGGAAATATTGACGGATAACCCTCACTGCTGTACCCGAAACGGTCACTCGGTTCTTCCGTCGATGAACGCTACGAAGCGGTCGCGATACTCATCCGGGGGCACCGCGGATAGCTCATGTCGATCGTAGACCACCCCCTTGGCCCCCCTCTCCAGCATCTTCTTGAGGTTGTACCTGTGGATACCCGGCAGTTGTGTGCATGTGTGTAGGCATCTAGCGTCAAAGCGGTTGTATGCACGTGTGTCGGTAGTTAGTGACGTTGGAGCAAATACTAAATCAAATATCATCTTGAAGTCATGATCATATGACACAAATATTCATGTATGATTAGTTCTCTTAAATTGGACAAATGGTCGAGTGGTTTATGGCACCGTGTGTGTACGTCTGTAAAGACTGGGGCCTATTTGACCAACAAGGGACCAAATTGGAAGCCACAAAATTGTGCTCAACAAGAACTATCATTTTTGCCCGGGGCTGTCGCAACTGCCTCCCGCTCAGTCCGTTTCCCAAAAAACGTTGGGATTTGGTTTCGATTGTTGTTGTCTACACAGAAATACCGTTACCGGTCTCTTGTCTGTACCGTACAATATCCGCACCGGTTCAACTGACGCGGAACAGCTGCCGTGGTCACAGACATTTCACCAGAATCAAAGAAATGTTCATGTGTATGAACGCGTCCCAAAAATTGGGATTTGATTTCGATTGGTGTCCGGGAATGTTGTTTCTCTGTGGCGGGAAAACCAAAAAAGACTACACGGGGTAATATGATGTTATTTAGTACTTGATTTCTAAACTGGGCATACACTCTTTGTGATCAAGTTCTACAATTCTGTTTTTCTCAGGGTTCTCAACTCCCATGCATAGGTCTTGAGCGTTCTGCACCGATACATGGTAAATTAACGAAAGAAAAAAAAATGAGCCCAAACACACCAAACAAAGAAAACCACACATCCGGCTAGTGTATCGATTCATGCACCTCTGCAAGACGTCGATGATTCCCACGTAATAGACGACGCCAGGGTCTCGCCCGGGGTAGACGCCGACCTGCAACAAAACAACGGGTGAGGGGGGCTCCGTGTCTAAGGGAGGGACGGGGGTGCACTCATTTGAAAGCATGCCGTAGTCGCTAGGGGGGGGGATAAGCTGCGAGGAGGAGACCTGCGTGGCATGGCATTTGTGTTATCAGGATTTACGCGAGGAGGCGTCTTATTTTCCAGCAACACCAAAGAGTAAGCGCACTCTACCCTAGCGTACGGCTTCTGCTGGCATACCGTGTACGACACAAGATACCCCATCCCCTGGACCGATTTTCAAAGGTCGATTACGCCACGACCAAGAGAGGATGAATTAACGAAACGGTACATTTTCGGAAAGCTCTCGACCATACGGCTTCGACGCCACCGTAACTCTTTCTGCTATTGAAGTCGACCCTTAAAAATCGGTCCAGGGGGTGTTTTATCTTGTATCGAATACGGCAGTGTACTTGGAACTGCGGAACCGTATATCAGCTTGTCGTGGAGACCATCGACCTCGCGTCCGATCAACGCCGGGGCGGATCGGTATGCCGGGTTTTCGCCGGCCCAGGCCATCTACCGTAGGTTGCGTAAGATACCACACCCCTGGATCGATTTTCGAAGCTCGATTACTCCACGACCAAGAGGATGCCGGACGCAAACGATACGTGTTCGGAAAGCTCTCGGCGGGACGGTTCCAGCTCCGCCATTTTCGGCACCGTCACTGCTTTCCCAGCCCAGTAATCAAGCTTCCGAGATCAGCCGAGGGGGTGTGATATCTTACATCATGCAACCTACGGTACGGTTCACAAGGATGAAGCAGAAGCTGGTCATCATCATTCTTTCCGATTTCTGTGCCAAACCAGGCATGCCGTGGGAGGGAAGGGGGAGTGGGAAAAGCGGGGCCGCACTCAGCAGCTGCCAAAAGCTACTTGATATAGGGACCAATAATGCCGCACATACCAAAGAGAACAAGCGCGTGCATGCATGCCATGCACCTGCGCTTATCCAAGGACTATCGTATACGACACAAGATAACACGCTGGAACGACTTTCAAAGCTCGATTACTCGACGACGAAGAGGATTCATTAACGAAACGATACGTTTTCGGAAAGCTTTCGACGAGACGGCTTCAACGCCGCCATTTTCGGCGCTGTGACTCTGTCTGCCGTTGAGAAATTGAGTTTAGAAAATCGATTCAGGGGGTGTTTTTTCTTGTGTCGTATACGGGACTCCTACTGCTGTACATCAAGAGAGGACGCCATTGCATGCATTGCACCACATACAGGGATCACGCTACTGTTCCGTTTTACTACCGTTGGACCACTACGCTGTAAACAGAAGAGAACACGCCAATGCCTTTAGGCACGCACGCACGCGCGCACTGCTGTACGAAGAGAACACGCCTCAATCCCTGCACGCACATACTACTCTACACCGACGACAACACGCCAATGCGATCATGCATTGCTGTACACAGAAGAGAACACGCGAATGCCTTCATGCATTCATACTCCTGTACCCAGAAGCGAACACGCCAATGCCTTCATGCATTCGTGCCGCTGTACGCAGAAGAGAACACGCCAATGCCTTCACCCATTCATACTGCTGCACGCACAAGACCACACGCCAATGCCTTCATCCATGTACGCACGCACGCGCGCACCTGTGGCCGTCTGCCGCCCCTCCTCGCGCCGCCGGGTAGGAATCCTAGGGCGAAGCACCCGGCCGCCCAGACAGGCTTGGACGCCACCGACAGCACCGACAGCGGAAGGGCCAACAGCCTGCTCGATTTTGGTCTCAAAGGGCGGTGAATGCCCACCTGAAATGTGACCGTCGAGGAGAAGGAGGGGATGGGATGGTGCTTGTTAATTCTTCAAATATAATTTACAGTTCTTCGTAATTTGAAGTATTAGCTCTAGCTTTCGTCTGCAACTGGTGGTGAATGCCCAGGGACGTGACGGAGGGGGGGGGGCGCCGTGATGTTTTCGTTCTCGATTGGTCTGGAAGGAGCGGTGAATCCCAACTGCATGCATGCATGGGGGGAGGGGATCGAGTGACGATTTACTTCGTTCGTTTTTCGAAAGTTCTGACATTTGAGCTCGCTTTTGGTCTGAGAGGGGCGTTCAAAGCCCAACTGCATGCACACATGAGGGGGGGTTTCGGAGTGATGAAACCTATATATCGACAACAGCAACAACAGCGACAACAATGACAACGACAGCAACAACACCAACACCACAAACAACAACAGCAGCAACAGCAACCATAACAAAAGCAACAACCTACGGCAACGCCGCCACCACCACAACCACCAATACAACCACCACCACCACAACAACAACAACACACCACCACAACAACAA